TATTTTTTTGTGGTGAAAGGGTCACTTTAACCTGATCATATTATTATCAAGAAAAAACCTTTAAAAGCACTATAAAAAAGGGAAGTATATTTGATTCTTTAAGTCAAGTGTTGGCTCCTCAACAATGAATTACTCGTAGCCATTGATTAAAACAAGGCAAATCTTTTGTTTAGTGCTTCCCCTCATGTTATTTTCATGTCCTGGAATTTTGGATGGAACCTGAAAGTTTCAGCATGTTAATGAGAAAAGAAAAGAAAGAAAAGTTGGAGATGTGCGTTCCAGGGCTACACTAGGCTCTTTGTTTATGAATGGTCTTATAGAACTTCTGGACAACACTCAGGAATGCCCCGGACAATGGAACCGGCTATCACTGGCGCAAAACCCAATTAAAGTGGGCTTTTAGTAGACATCAGAGCAAGGCAGCAGTGAAATGATTTGCCAGTCTTCTTTGAAAAAGTATTGGGGCAATAGACATGAATGCTGGGAACTGCTGAATAATCCAGGATGGGACAGAGATACATAAATGCATGCTAATGAGGCACTCAGCACTGGAGCCATTGTGCAACAACCTGTTTCCATGGAAACAGAAAACTGCCCAGACTCTAAGATGCTCTTCAATGCATAGGCGAGTTTGGTAAACACACATTATATTTCATTGCAAAAAAAAAAGCTGTTTATGCCAGTTGGGCAAATGCCAATGTGAATCCTTTATGCTGCTTGGACAAAGAAGTTCTTAACATTTTATTTTTTTATATGTTTTCCTTCTTGAGTTGCCAAAGAAGCCAATGATCTCATCACATATTTGGTTATATGGTCATTACATGGTCACTGTATCTGTACAGGTGGTAGTTTTTTCTGTGGATAGAGAAGAGAACAGACTGAAGGGGTCACTTCAGCCTAAATGGCTAATTAGTTTGATATATCTAGAAAAGGTTTATGTAGGCTAAAGGTTGCATGCTGAACAAGAGAAATCTATCGATTACCTTGCTAGACAGAGTGGAAGGAGGACTATCCACTGCTGGCTATTATATTCTGATGTCTGAACAGTGACTGAATTTGATTGGATGCAGCCTCTGTTCTGCCGAAAATTTTCCATCTGGCTTCTTAGATAGATTGGAAGAATGTTGGGTAGCTGAATGAGGATGCCATTTGGGCCACCTTTTGGCAGTAACTGGACAAAATTTACTTCATATATGATCAGCTTTAGATGGACTCTAAATGTGCAAAGCAGCAGATCCTGATTGGTTCATAATGTGCCCCTCCCACAGGCTCTTGTTTTTATTGTCAATGAATAAATTAGAGCCTAAAGGGACACTGTCATCTTGTTCATTCAGGGACAGTGACGGTGTCTGCGCAAAGGGCCCCACACCTTGACCCACTAATACTCATCTTACCAGTGCTCCCCTTCTCCTTTCTCTCCTCAGCCACTGATAAAATCCCTAGTGTTGGATGGTGTCAGATGCTAGAGGAAGACACCTTCAGTCATGTGATTGGCAACGACATGCTGGCTAGTAGACCTAGCTACTAGACCACACAGGAAGAGGGCACATGTTCTGCCATAGCAGGTTATTTTCCCTAACTAAAGATGGCTATACTCTGCTCAAATTTGTGAATCAGTCAAATTCAAGCCTTAGGTGGTTCTGCCAATACTATCCAGCTTGACAAGCTTTGAATAAGTGATCAAGGTGTCAGACGGAAACACGTCAGACAAACAGTGATTGCAGTCAATCAATAGTTGGAAGCAGCAGATTCATCCATCTTTGCTGTTTTGCAAGAATGGGGGAACCTATGGAGATTTTTACATGTATGACCAACTTTTGGTAGCAGAGGGAGCAGAGGGGAACACTGGCAAGGTGGATGTCAATGGGTCAGTGGGGACCTTCTGATGTGTGATAGCCGTTTTAACCACAGGTTTTAAAATAGCACTAGGATTACATCTGTTTATCTCAGTAGCTTAACAAAACAGTGTCTGGTCTCAACAGCTCTGCTAGGTCCTTTGAGTGACATCTGTATTCTAGCACCAAGCTTGTGAGCATAAAACTATCACATAGTGAGCAGAAATTCATGCACAACTACCCTTTGCCTTGTGATCAATTCTGCTCATGTCTCACTATGCATAATTCACAGATCTTAATAGTGATCAGAAGAGGGTAGAAGACATCATATTCATCTCAGAAGGTGCTTGGAGAAGGTCCTTCATTTACGTGTTGATCACGATATTAACATACCAAAGATAAAGCAAAAAAACTCCACATAGTGTGCACAGTTCAAGTTTATCCCTTTATTTATAAAAGTAAACCACTCACAATAAAATGAAGGAAACATGCTTGTAAATGACTGATGATCCATTTTAATGTAAGTGGTTTACTTTTATAAATAAAGGGTAAATTTGAACAGTAGACATAGGGGCATATTTACCACAAGGTAAACAAGGCATTTGCCTAGGGTGGCATTTTTCAGGGTGGCAACACTGCCCCCCCTGGAAGAAGGGACACATGCGGCTTGGGGACCAGGTGGGATCTGAGAAAGGCTGTGGGCTGCTTGACGCTCGTTTCTGGGGATGTCCAGAGCTGTGAAAGTGAGTGTCTTTCTCTCTCTCTAGCTGGGAGGGCAGTGGCCAGTGTGTGGGAGCTATGGAGGAATGGACAGGCTGTCATGGGTGGGGGGGGGCAGGGGTGTTGTTGGTCAATGTCAGGCTCTCTCTATGGGAGGGAGCAGAGGCAGAAAAGCAAAATATGACATAATGTCACACAAAACCCCAAAAATGGGGGGGCCTAGGGCAGCACAAAACCTAAATACACCACTGGGTAGACACTATGTGGAGCTTTTGTTTTTCTTCAATATGTCAATATTGGGATGGACATGTAATTGAGGAACCTTTCTCCAAACACCTTCTGAGATGAATATGGTGTCTTCTACCCTCCTAATGATCAGAATTCACCAGAAGGTCAGCACATTTCTGCTAATCCTTGCATGGTGTTGCTTGGTGGAGGATCTTTCTGGCTTTCTGGGAGATACTCCCATCCTCATGACAGTTGTCATTTGGATGTTTGGGGCTGCTTATCCACCATCCGGGACTATTCTGCGTTGCAATCTTTCATCAACTATCCAGGGAGATTTACTGTTGCCAGCAAACCTTGATAATGGGACTGTGGACAAAGGCAAATTAGTTCTTGGAGATGGACTTGTATATTTGTATTTTGCCACAATTTTGGTTCTCAGGTCCTGGTCTGTCTCCTCTTTCTGTTGTCCATGCTTGGGGCACAGACAGACACACAAGCACACGTCTCTCCTTTTTTTCTTTTCAGGTGTGATATTAGCACAACAGGTTTATGTATAATTCAGAAAATCAATAATGGTTGTGTATAGAATGCAATATCCAGATGACGTGCCAACAATTCCAGCTTAAAGACACCTTTAGCCACTGTCAGATAATCGCAAATTGGATCGTGCTTTGCTGGGGTTTTTTTGCCTTCCTCTGCATCAACTGTGGGAGTAGAATTAGAACTTTTTTTTTTTTTTTTTTTATGGTTGAAGTGGATGGACTTTTATCTTTTTTTCAGCCAGACTAACTATGTAACTATGAAATCCCTGCAATTTAAGGGAATTCCTTGGGGACTCCCAGGTCCCCAAAACTAGTGTCCCCCTAGGAAGATTTCTCCCTCTATTAATTTTCTGGGGACAACCCAACATTTGGGATTTTTTTTTTAACTTTCGATCAAGATGATAAACAGGACAAATTGAGATGGTCAATCTACTTAACAAGGCCATTGACAGCAATACAAACTGACAGGTGTTCTAATCCATCTCCATTCTATCCAAAGCTATAAAAAAAGTTTTGCCTTTAGTTATACTTTAAGCTCGCTACAGATTTTACAGTCTGGTTGTACAATCTTTGTTAGATCTACCGCCAAGTATGTAGCACAAGGACCTGCCTGATTGTATAGAGGTTGATTGGATAGTTTAGGTAGGTCCTTATATTACCTAGTTTTTAGTAGACCTAAGGTTGATTACAAAGCTTGTACGGTCGGTCAGATTGTGCGATGTTGTAAGACTAATACTATGATGGCAGAGAGTCGTTGCTGATTGCACACTATGGGATTCTGGACATTTGCACTTTGTTAGTAAATAATCTTCATAAAACACTTATTATGAGACATTGTGCAGACCCTGAAGGCAACATAAACCTCATGTTAAATTCCTTTATATGTCAGGCATTTCCTTTTTTTTATTAAATCCATACATTTCTCACAGCTGGGAGACAGATCATTATTACATCCTTAATGTAGGCTTGTCTGCATGTCTCAGAAATTTTTCTCTGTGTTAGCATGTCACATATTAAAATGCGATCAGGTGTTCTCTTTGTAGCTGTTTGCTACATGTGAACACAAACAACAAGAAATATTTGTTATTGCCAGCCTGACCCTGTAAAAACATTGTGATCCGGGTAAAACATTTGTGTGCCGGTTCTAGGTGTCACATATGAAATCTCCATTTTTGTTTACAAAATTGACAAAACCTACACAATAAAATTAACCACAAGCCTAGAGGGCACTTATACCCCCTTCCTGCCCAGGTCAATTTCCAGCTTTCAGTGCTGTTGCACTTTGAGTGACAATTGCGCGGTCATGCAACACTGTACCCATATGAAATTTTTATCATTTTTTGTGACAGATAGAACTTTATTTTGGTGGTATTTAATCACCTCGGGGTTTTTAATTTTTTCTTAAACAAACCAAAAACCACTGAAAATTTTGAAAATAAAAGTTTTTTCTTAGTTTTTGTCATAAAATTTTGTAAATAAGTGATTTTTCTCCTTCACTGATATGCGCTAATGAGGCTGCAGTGATGGGCACTGATAGGCTGCACTGATGGACACTGATAGGAGGCACTGATGGACACTGATGAGGAGGCACTGGTAGATGTTACTGATGGGCATTGACAGGCATCACCGATGGGCACTGAAAGGCAGCACTGATACATGGCACTGATATATGGCACTGATAGGCAGCACTGATAGGTGGCACTGACTGGCACTGATAGGCTGCACTGATGTGCACTGATAGGTGGCACTGACTGGCACTGATAGGTGGCACTGATTGGCAGCACTGATAGGTGGCACTGATTGGCATTGATAGGTGGCACTGACTGGCACTGATGGGTGACACTGAAAGGCAGCTCAGATGGAGCGCTGATATGTGGCATTGATGTGCACTGGTAGGCACTGATATGTGGCATTGATGTGGCACTGATGGGCACTGGCATGAGGTACTGATGAGCACTGACACAAGACACTGATGGACACTGACAGGTGGCACTGCTGGGGCTACACTGATCATCAGGGCACACTGATCATCAGTGCCCTGATGATCAGTGTACATGTCCCCTCTGCGGAAAGCCGATTACCGGCTCTCCTCTCCTCTCGAGCTGTCAGCGTGACAGCTGGAGAGGAGAGAAATGCCGATAACCGGCATTTCCCTGCTTACATGTGATCAGCTGTGATTGGACACAGCTGATCACATGACCGAGCCGACATCTTCGGCTCTTTCTGTGATCGGTGATCCTCTGTGTCCGGGGGACACAACGCACTGCCGATCGCCACGCTGCACGCTCCCTGAGCCACGCATGCGCAGTGAGAATGGTAGGACGTCATATGACGTACTCACAGAACGAGAGAACCACCTTGCGTCTGTCATATTACTATATGGTGGGCGGGACGTGGTTAATATACAAGTCAATTTGTAATTTTTATTAAAACATATCTAAGGTCATTAACTCACATTCATACATACATATACTAGGGCCAATTTAGACAGGGACCAATTCACCTACCAGCATGTGTTTTGAGTGTGGGAGGAAACTGGAGTATCCAGAGGAAACCCACACAGTCACAGGGAGAACATGCAAACTCCAGGCAGGTGGTGCCATGGTTGGGATTTGAACCAATAACCCTAGTACTGTCAGGCAGAAGTGCTAACCATTTAGCCACTGTGCTAAATGCGTATTCTAAACGATAAAAGATTAAAAGATAAAAGATCCCTTGTGAGTAGCCACTGCTTGTGTCACACATTTCACAGAGCCTGCCTTCTGAAATACAGAGGTGATGAGAGGAGGAGTTTCAGGAGGCGGAGTCTGTACAGAAATCACTGCTTGCAGGCAGCAAGGTACCATGGTAGTCCTTAGAAATTGAAAGTAAAAAAGAATGCTGGGAATTCAGGAAATAAATGGTGAGCAGAGCTCACAACATGAAAGCAAATTTTTCAAGTATGCTTGTATTGGATTGTCAAAAATAACTGTTGTTTGTATTGTTATTACAATGCTGATGTTTTACCCCGGAACGTGTATGCTGTGACCATGAACTACATTTAAGGGTGACCATAGCATTTGACGTGTGGTTCGTTTCATTCCGAATCAAAATTCGTATAAAATTTTCATTATTCAGAGATTCAGATGAATTAAAATTTCTGAATTACAAAGTAACAAATTTAAAATAATCTGAAATAATGAAACGCAATTTTTTCAGAAATAATTAATTATATTAATCAAATTCAAAATGAATTTGTAAACAAAACTTAAATCGAACTGTAAACATATTGCTGACTATTGCGGATTTCCTTCAATGACTGTGTGTTCTAAAATACAGCTGTCTTCTGGAATTCAAATTTCAAAACAAATAGAATAGAATAAAACAGAATACAATAGAATAGAAAATAAAATAAAAAATAATAGAAAATAAAGGAATGGAAAGAATAGAATAGAAAAAAATAGAATGGAATAGAAAGGAATAGAATAGAAAAGAATAGAATAGAGTAGAATATAAAATGAAAGTATTTAATAGAAAGGAATAGACCAGAATAGACAATAAAAGAATAGAATAGAAAAAAACAGAATAGAATAAAATAGAAAGAATATAGAATCTTCCAAAATTCGAATTTTCGAATAGAATAGATTCAGCTATTCTTCACAATGAATTTGGATTGATTCGATATTTTCAGTTCTAATTTGATTGGAATACTTTGAATCCATTGGAAAAATTCAAATCTGGTAGAAAATGAATAAACAAAATTAAATAAAAAAAATGAAACAAATTGTGTTACAAATGCATCAAAACAAAATTAGTAACTAAACAAATCGATCCGAAACTAAACAAAATTTTTTTTGTTCTGCACATGGCTACTAAGCATTGTGTATTTTGCAATGCATTAGAACGCATGTATCATAAAATATGTGTGCTGCATCCTGCTGCGTTGTTAAAAATAAGGCATCTCTGATTTTAGATGCATTTAGAAGCATTTTCTGGCCTATTGATGTCTGTTGAAGTGCATGAAAATGTGAGTGTTGTGCACTTTCATGTTTTCTTAAAGTGGTTGTAAACCTTTGCCTATCCCCATTGAAGTGAAGTGACTAGGCTAAGCTGATACACAGAGAGGAAACAAATCCTCCTATATAAGTTGTACCTGTTTATCTGCTGCCATGTGTACTGTACAGCCTTGTAAAAAGATTTTTCACTGACTCACAAAGCAGGGGGCGAAGAGCTGCAATTACACACTGTACAAGAGCTCTGAGAACTGATTGGAGGGAAGGGACACACTCCCCTTCACACAGCACACAGGAACAGAGATGAGGCTGTCAATCACAGGCTGTGTGCTGGAGATCCCTCCCCTGTCACCTTTTTAGCTCTTGGTGTCAGAAATAGCAGAGGAATGAAACAGCGAAGAGAAATGAAACACAATGTTTTGGAGTGAGGCAAGTAAACACTACAGAAATATATGCTTTGTTCATATTTCATGTCTGAGGTTTACAACCACTTTAATGCATTTTCAGCTTGCTGTGGGTGCGAACATGGCAGCTTGTCATCCCATGGATCCAAGAACCTCCCCTGAATACCTGACATATGCTCAACCTCATGATGTCACTACAGGAAATTCATCCTCATTGACTAAAACCAAAAATGAACAATGCATGAAGTCGCATGAATGCATGGAGAAGCTTCTAGAAGTCAGTAGACAGAGGTGAGGAGGAGTCTTGCTAATCCCAGGCAAAAGGCCTGGCAGTGTTGCAGACTGGCCCATAAATATGAAAGAGGCTGGCTAGCAAGGGGAGTAAGGTGGAAGATGAAGGATTGACGTGCTGCCATGTAGCCTGCAAGGGGGTGGGCCTAGAGAAGGGGGGGTTCTGCCTCCAGGCTGGAGGAAGGAGGAATGCTGAAAGAGAAAGCTTCACTGCCCAGGAATCCACCAGGGAAGGACAGCCTGAAAAAGAACCAACCCAGCAGAAGTCCTGAAAGCAGTTCTATCCATAGCTGCAGGATAAGAACAGTGCGAGTACCTCTACACCGCCAGGGCCTATAAGGGAGAAGTCTGCTAGATGCAAGTTCTTGGCAAGTCTTCAGGGGACAGTTTAGTGTTTACCCAATCCCTTGCCTTGGGAGCAGATAACGTGGCCAGGTGGACTGGTATTTTGCCATTTAGGGGACATAGAGCTCCTACAAGTTGGGACTTTGCCAAAAATCCACTCAGGGGGACACCAGACTTCTAGCACGGGATCTCTTTTCCATGCTAAAGTGCATGGAAACATGCTGATAGAAAGAGAGAGCAAAATGACAGAGATCAGCTCATAGGTCTGCTGCTTCTGCTTTCACTGTCCAGTCACACTGCAGGGGTAGAGAAGTGAAAGTGAAACTGTAGCAGAAAAAGAGCTGTTCTCCTCTCTTTCTAGACAGGGCTGTGCTGTGGGGCAGAGCTGTGTAAATCTCAGAACTAGATGGACAGAAATACAAATCTTTTTACGGGTTAAATAGCTGCCAAATATCTATTTCATCTGTATGTTTAGATGTGTGTCTAAAGTTTAACTTTTAAAAAAGTTGAGCACCTGAAGGGCCAATACTAACTGAACCAGTACCCTAAATCCAATGTAACCGCTAACCCTAAACCTTAAATTCAGCCTAATCCCTAGGCCTATTCCTAAACCTCAAACGTAGTCTTTATCAGGGGCGGACTAACCATTTGGAAACTCGGGCACTTCCCAAGGGCCCGGGGTCAGTAGGGGGCCCCATGAGATGCCCCTGGTACCTTTTTCGTAGGCTTTTTTAAGTTTGGGCAAGGACACAGGGGCCCCATGATCCCCTATTGCCCGGGGGCCCTATGAGTTGTCAGTCCGCCTCTAATCTTTATCCTTATGCTGGCCAGACATGGCTGGAATTTCGGTCAGTTCTACTGAATTTACCAAAATTTGAGCTGCGGGTGGCACAGTCAGCACCTCCTGGGCAGACAAAATTGAGGAAGCCAAACACAAAATTCTCAGCTGAACAGTAACTGTAGCCAATCAAATGCATGGTTTAACAAAAGAAATCTTTTGTGTATGGCTAACCTTAATGGAAACCTATACTGAGGACTAATAAAGCTGCTAATCATTAAATACTCTCTGAGTCCTTGAACTGGAATAAGTATGAAGATGTGGAGTTCTGACTTTATTGCAACTTTTAGGGTCTTCATACTTTTTCCATGTCGGTGACTAAAGGTGGGAATACACGATTAGAAAATCTCCAATCGGTCATCCGACAACCAAGAGGCGTTCGTTCTTTGGTTGAAATCGTGGCCCACATTAACCAAAAAATAATTCGTCGGCCAATATGTAGTGTTGACGTCTTCTGTACAAGTGGAAGTGATGCGGTGTGCGTGTGACCTTGTAGACACGCCCTTCCGGCCAGAACGAGCGATATACACAATTCCCAGCAATGAGTATAATATTGTTTATTACATGATCTATATACATAAATAGTGATACAGAAAATATAATCTGCAGAATTCTGCTTTCATTATCTCATTAGGCCAATCTACTTTTAACATTTGTATTTTTTGTTCATGTTTACAAGATTCCTTGGACACAAACATCCGAGTCATCTTTTGTTGCGCTCATATGTGATAGCGCTTGATAGATTTTTTTTTTCGTACGACCGTCATACCGCCGCATAGAAAATCGGTCATTCGTATGCGAAACAACTAAATTTTTCACTGTTGTTCAACCGGATTTTTTTCGTTCACAATATCGTTATCGGTTATAACATCCTGCTCATCAACGAAGAGAAAATCGTTCGATCAGTGGTTCCGCAAAATTTTTCAAACGATTTTCTTATCGTGTGTATGGGGCATTAGATGCATTGAAGCCAGAAATACACAGGCAATTAGGCTAGTTGGGAGGAGACCAGCGATGGAAGCCTGGCAGCCTCCATTTTATCTGAGTACCGGTTTCACTTAAACTGCAGTAGATCTAAGCACTGAGAAAATTAGAATGCCCGCTCCTCTGTTCTAATAGTGCAGCCTTACGTCGCTGGAATCGGTGTTTGAGCTGTTATTTAGTTGTATTCTCTCCCTATCAAAGAATTATTGGCAGATCAGTGTCAGGCTGTAAGGCCTCCACGGAGGCTGACTTGTTTCCTACAAGAACTCAGGGACTCAAATTTCTGTTCTAAATCAGAAAGGTAAAACTTTTAATTAACAAGGCATTTATTTATTTTTGAATCCTAACAGATCCTTTGTTATATAAGAGTATATTATCAGCAATGAGCTAAAGCAAAC